CTGTCTTTTAGACTTTCAGTAAAGGTCCCTAAACTCTCCCATACAATGTGCTCCTTGAATACCAGCTGCACTTGCAAGGAAAATTAAATCCATTTAGGACCTGTGATTATTTTTGATACTTCAATCACTATATGCACAATTCAATTTGTTTTAGACATCAGTGAGTCTTCTCCCTGAGATACTTTGCCTGGTTTTATTGTGAAGATTTTCCAGCTCTTGGTTGCCACAAGAAGGGAATATGATCACACTCATCAGCGTGTGAAAGATGAGGTGTATTTCTATAGGCTTCTTACAGGTTTTAGCCTTCCTTCTTGCTTTGCTTACTATAATGTGTTTCTCTCTTCAGTTATAAACACTTCAAGAGTAGATACTGATCTGCAGAATTCTTGGAGCAAGTGGGTGGAAGCTACTCATTGTATTTAATGAAATATATGTATTGGTGAATATGTTAATAGTTCATTAATTCAGTAATATCAAATGTTAAATTATATATAATGTATGATATATCATGAAAAATGCATTAAATAATATAGTTAATGATTATGACTATATTAATTAGTATAATTAAATATGGGTTATTAAGCTATATATCATTTGACAAGTGTGCTCACTCCATATAAGTGTGACAAAGCTGGAAGGGAACACTATTTCTGCCACATGCTGGAAGCTCAGCACAAATTTTTCAGCAGTTCAGTTTTGAAAATGGAATATTAGTTCCAATATGATTGCTTGTTTTTAATTTACTGTAGAAATTTCTGTTTGAATACATTATTAGAATGTATGAATTTGTTTCATTTTTTTCATGCCAGTGATTTTCTTTGAGATATTTAGGTGACTATTCTGACTCTTAAATTGGTCTAAATGTTAAAAGTGTTCATATAACTCAAAGCTAATCTTAAAAATTGGTGAGGGTGCAATATAAGGTATAGAAATAAGACAATGAAAAAGCTTGTTAATTATGTTGCAAAATACACTATTACAAATTACTTTTGTCTGAAGTCTGCAGGTCTTTATGTATAATAAATCTCAAGTGTTTTGCATGTACAGGATCTCCTGCCCTGGCCTGCCTGCATAGTTTAAAGCACTGTATAAATTATTGATATTTATTTTTTTAACCCTGGATGTGAAAATAGAGTAAACAGGACTCAGTAGAAAGTTCTAGTTGTTTGGGTTTTTTTTGTTATGCTTTTTTCTTCAAGGGCCCTTTTTCTTCTATGAAACTATCAAAGCTTTGTATTGTGCACTGATTTCTTTTAGCAGCTGCATAACACCCAGACAGGCAAGTTTTGTTGTATATTGTGAGATACACAAGTCATTGTTCTACATTGTTAGTTCTTACTTTGATGTTCTCATTTATTGTTTACATCCTTCTCCTCCTTCCTCGCTTCCTCCCTCCCCCATATGTTCTGTAGACTTGAAAAAAAATCTGGCAACAAGAAGTATTGTGTTATCAGATATCCAAAAAAATGCCTGATGGATGTTAAACCTTCAAGATGCCACCTCTGGCCCCAGGGTGCTCCTCTAGGATGAAGACAAGTGATCAGCAGTTCAAAGCTGTGTCTGATTAATATTGTTAGTCTTCTTATTGCTTTACTTTTAGATCTGGTATTTAAATAGTTCTACAAAATACTGTAAATGGTGACAAGATCAAGGTTTGTCTTTTGTCATGAAAAAGTGAGATACTGCCTTTTATTCTTGCCAAAGATTGATGCAGTTGCAGATTAGACTCTGTCAGCTGAAGTTTGACAGTTGTTATTTGCATTTCCCTAGCACTGAACTTGTGCTACAAAAATACAGGGCAGCGCTATGATGAAACCCCATTTTCAGGTAACTGTTTGCTGGATGTGGTGGTGTTTTGTTTTGCTTTTTAAATTAGGAAGAAAGCGTGACTAGGCACATGAAAGCCACTCTGCTGATACCACCCTCCATGGCTTTAGCTCGCAGGGACAGCACAGATGTTTGACATCAGTAATGTTTACATGGCCTTAGGGTTTAATTGCCTCATTCTCTTTGTAAGGAGAATAAACAATGACAGAAATCCAAAGGAATGATGTTCATGCAACAGCAATGGCTGCATTTCATACATAGTTGCCAACTTCTCAGCTATAGCTAAATAGCTACATTTTAATTTTTTTTTTTTCTGAACAGTGATAGGCCATAAGCTTCATGTTCTCTGCTGCTTCTTCACTGGGAATGACAAGTATTAAAGCTGATGAGCATGAGCGCTGTTAATTGCTTCTAACAATTGGTGAATGGCTTTTCTAAGTTGTTTTTATCTATTTTCTCCAAAACTAATGAGGGTCTTTGATACTGTTATAGGTTTTGTGACTCAATATGTGTTTGAGAAATAAACTAAAACACGGAGGTGCAGAGAGCACTTTATAGAAGAGCAGCACAGAAAGTTACAAAGTTCTGTTGCACAGGAAATTGAGACCAACTTGGCAAATGAGGTTTGACTTTTGGTAACTATAGATCTGTGGTTGACTCAGTTTGGTGTGGTTTTAATTAGAATGATATTCCTTTATCGAAATTGGTATTTAATAGTGTGATTAAACTTTGAAATGGAAGGGGAGAGGTTTCACTCCCAGTTGTGAAGTGATGAGCCTGTTTGCTTCAATGCCAGCCTTCATGAGATCACTTTTGAAACTGTGTTTCCATGACTTAATTGTTGTAGGGCTCTATGCAGTGAGCCTGGGAGTCTGCCTTTCACAAGGGCTGGGTCAAAAAGCAGAGCTGTAAGTGAAACCAGTTCTACAAGTTTTGCTATAGCAAATTTATGTGTATATAGTTAGGTCCTGAAGGGACAAAATTATGTACATTGTGGACCACACAGGGCAGGAAACTGTCTGGGGTGCTGAAACCTCAGTATTTCACTTAATGTGTAGAAGGGGAGGACACTGAGTGCTTTTGAATGTTTGATACATTTTCATGTTCTTCCAACCTACAGAGTCATTAAACATAGACTAGATCTCAGCTGATGCAAACTGCCAAGGGTTAATTTATATCAGCCAAGATGTTCTCACTTTATTAATGAGTTTTAAATGTAATGTGTTTGTGTGGATTTAGTAGCTCTGTGAGAGCAATAGCTGCACATCAGCAAGTCAGAAGCTTTTAATGTAATTCGAGTAGGTTGGAGTCTCTTTCATGTTTAGTTTCCAGTATTTGTGTTTTTACAAGACCATCCTATGGAATGATCACAAACTGTCTATCTGGAAGTGGATTACTGTGCTCCTTTTTTAAATCAACACTTGTTTATCAGCTAATACTAAGATTTTATTCTATAATGTCACTTTGCTGGAGGGATATATGCATATATTTCTTTTCATATCAACATATGTGTGTATTTCATGCACAGAACGTGCATTTTTATTATGATACTTATTTTTGGATGATAAAAGAGATGGCTGACAGCTGAGAATACTATCTATTTTCTTTGGATTAATTGTCAATCTAGCTTTTTTCCCCTAGTGATTTACATAATAAGACTGATCCTGTTTAGTCTTGGGGAGATAGGCAGCCTTTCTAGGCATTGTACTGAGCAGGTGTGTACTTTGTATATCAGTGGATATATTAGTGGATGTGGAGTCACAAAATTGAAGGAATTTGCTGCTCTTGCTTCTTCTGTTTTTAATTCTTGAGGAGTGTTCTATTTACTGCACAACATTTGGGATTTTTGAGTTGACTTAGATTATAGGGCTCTAGTTTTCAAGTCATGATAATGTAGTGATGTTTTCAAGTCTCAGTAAACAGAAATATGTAACACAAAGTAATAATATGAAAATGATGGGGACTTTGCAGTGCTTATTGTTTGTGTATGTTAGCTAAAGATTCATACTTGACCCACTACTGCTAGTAAGTCAAAAGAGGCAGAATGAATAATGCTCCTTGATTCCTTTAGAGTTTGTCAGCTGAGAGTATTAGAAGGTAGGTTCTTAGTTCTGCTAAACCTCAATCTGAGAACTGAAAATCATTGGATGGTGATGGCTCCGGTGTGCAGCTCCAAGGCAGCTGGACCTCAGCACTACAGGCTCTTGGAGCATCCAAAAGGCAAATACAGATTTTTCTGTTGGCAACAGAGCACTGGGAGATGTCTTGGTGTTGGTTCTCACACTGCACTGATTGTGGTTTGCCCTTTCTAAAGCAAGGGGAATTGTTGGGATCTGTCACTCTAGGAAAACTCTTCTGTATACTTTGCTTTCTGAAGAGTAGAAAGGATTAAATGTAGAAGTGGAATAGTCTGCATCTGCACTTGAGGTGTCACTTCTGTTTCTTAGAAAACTCTTGAGAAGCACAAAATACCTGTTGTGTTTGCAGAGTCCTGAAGACAGTCTTTAATGGCATAGTGAAGTTATGCAAGAGATGTAAAAGTATTTTAAAGATAAAAACTGAAGACTCTAAGTACAAAGTGGCAGTGTTTGTGTCAGAGGGCTTCAAGTGCACTACTTGGAACAAACACAAGCAGAAGCAAGAAATGTATTTTAGCAATCAAATTCAACAGCAATTCCTTGTCCCATTATAAGTAACCTTTAGAAGGAAGTGTTTTTATAGTATGAAATCTATGACTCAGAGAAAACAATCAAAAATAAACATGCATCTGGGCTGAAGGACATTCTTTGTATAAATATAACACCTGCCTAAAGAATAAAAGGAGATTTATCATACTTGGTATATTAACAGAAATAATAAAAGTGTCATTATTAAATGTTTGTTTAAATAAATGTTGATAGCTTTTTCTGGGCAGGTTGTTTTGCCAATTAAAACATCCGACATTCATTTTCTAAATAAGTATTTTTAGGTTCAAGTTTTTTGTACCAGTTTTATCACATACATATGAAAATGTTGAGAACTGAATATAGATTTTTTTTACAGCAATTATTTGTTAGTTGCTTCCCAGTGCCTTCTCAAAGACTGTCCTGGTTTGAGTAATTTAGATATGCAGAGGTCATTAGTGCATTTTATTTTTTTTTAAGTTAGAGGGCTGATCAATTTTGTTTTTAAAGCTGCAGATAAAAATGAAAGTGGCAGAAGGGAAATTTCATGAAGAGAAGCTTACATTACAGCAGAAGCATGATGCAGAAGTTCAAAAGGTAAGAAGTGTTTGTGTTTTTGTCAAAGACAGTGTATCAAACAAAATAATAGTCTGATTGCAATAAATAATTTGCACTTGTGTTTCAGCTTCTTAAAATTTGCAATTAATCTTCCTTTAAGTTTGTAGGTAACAGTTTGCATAAGCTGATAGGAATGTGGAATATTCTTTATACCATAAACCTAGGAAGCCAAAAATGCTTGCAGAAAGCTGGTGAAAATAGAAGGTAATGTGTTTTTTTCAACAAGACAATCTATTTAACCAGCCTGACAGCTTCTGCACATTCATATGCTGATGAAATAATAAACTCTTTATTGTTATTTTGGAGAGACAGCACCTGTGTTACAGGAAAATGTGAACCAAAATATTTTTTTATAGACAAAATGCAAAAAATAACAGTAGGAAAATCCACAGGTAGATCACATATGTTCCTACCAGTGCAGCAGTGATGCTGGCTCATGTCTCTGTTTTGAGACTGTATCTTACAGCATAGGCTGGTCAATAAGCAGCCCAGTATTTGTGTTATTGCCCTGTGAAGCTGCACGTGGCTTTTCATCCTTCACAGCAATAACTGACATCAGATACTCTTGCTTTGGGTGCAGCTGGATTTGTCTCTTGCATTGTGCAACACTGCTTTGGGGAAGATGACAAGAAGACTCCAAGACTATACTGTTACTTTTAAGGCCATGTTTTAACATCTGGGGTCAAATTCTGCAAGGTTCTAAGTGTCCTCTGAAGCACTGGGATCCCAGGGCCATAATGGGAATTGAGTGCTCAGTGCCAGGATCCTGATGACTTATCCTACTGTAAGCTTGGCCTTACTGAGTGTCTCTCTTTTGTTTCTTGAGACTGAGTCACCGACTTGGAGGAAGTCAGTTGACACAACACGATGACACATCAAAGCCTCCTGAAAGGATGTTAATATTTGGTCAGGTGCATATTTGGCTCATCTGTTCTCAAAGCCTGCGAGCATAACTTGCTAGCAAATCTGAGAGTCTAAAGGAAACAGCTTTGTGAGAATGAGAAATAGTTTAAATGCTTTCTCATTCCTTGAGTTGTCATCCTTTTCTAACTGTTGTTAGAATTCTGTCTTTTGAAGCTGTTTAATAATACTGGATATTTTAGAAAAGGTTAAATTGTGTCATATTCATCTTTAAAGACACAAAGCATTTAATGCAGATGGAGTAACATTGTTTTAAGATGAAAGCTTCTGTTTGATGAAAGATTTGGGGCACTGGTAGAAAATTCCTGTGACTAATGTTTATCTTAAATATGGAGTTTAAATTAAAATGCAATCTCAAAGCATGCAAGTATTTGAGCATTTTTTCCCAAAATCAGCTTGTACAGAAATACAAACGTAGTTACACCTCATGTTCTTGCTCTATTGCCATCCATTGTTTACTGGAATGCACAAAACAATTACAGTTGGTAAGTACAAAAGACTGTAATGAAGTTCACCAATTATTTAAGTATTTCTTAGACCTGCTGAGAATTTTAGATGCTTTTAAATAGTATGTGGCCACATAAATATGAAAAGGGAAACAAATAATTTTTGTTTGCATTGGAAGCACCAGGAAACTTCCAAACTCTAACAAAATCCCTTTTTAATCTACTGCCCACATTTATCTAAGTCAATCCCTTGTTTATGGCTAAGCAGTCTTGGCTGTGAAAATTACTTAGATTTAATCACTTAGACCTGCACAACCTAAGCACTTCTTGAAGGCAGCTCCTTTGACAGAGATCAGGGCATCTGCTTCTCTGCATCAGCTGCAGTTTTGGTTTTTTGACTTTTGTTAAAAT